CATCCATTGTTGTCTTTACTCCATCACCCACTGTTCTCTTGACTCCATTTAAGCTGCTTACACAAGGTCATCTTATGTCACCATTTTAATTTTCCTGCTCTGTTCTTTAACAATTCATTTATAGATTCCTTTGGTTTAACTCTGTGTATTTAGGCAGACAGCAAGGAAACAAAGTCACAGACCATTCATAAAAAGTAATCCAGACATTTTCCCACTGTGTCACAGCTGCTGCTGACAGGAGGTGTCAGCTCAAGTTTCTTCTCCTGTTGACATGAAGCCAAGGAAAGCCACATCCCAAACTCCCTTTTTGATCAACATTTCTCCAGAGATGCCCTATCATTTTTATGAATGCCAGTAGAAGATATACAGTCCTACCCCTCTTCTTCCAAGGACACAATCTATTCACAGAGGAGTGGAGAGGGAAAGAGAAAACTGTTATTAATTGAGGATGTTACTTTTTACAGTAATTAAAGATATCTACTCTTGCCTCATTGCCTACAAACAACTGATGCTTCTGCTGGATTATTTGCCATGTACAGCAGCACTAAATCTTACAGGCCCAATTCTTAAGAAGAAGGAAGACCAAACATGGGAATAACAAAGCTCTGCTGCCTTCCCCCCATGCCTCATTTAAGGTCTTAAGACAAAAGTAGAACTTAAAGCTACCTAGAAGCAATTATAGGTGTCATCAGGGCTGGCATCAAGTGACAGAAATCCACTTATGGTTCCCTTCCTCTTCGTCAGTGTTAGTCCCGTTGTACCTTCCTGTGATCTGCCCCCTCCCCCCCCTCACCAAGGAGTTTATAGGAACAGCCAGAGCACAGCAATGTCCCTTTCTCACAAAAAAAAATCCCAACATACTCCTTCAGCTTCAGGGAGGAGGCTGAGAGTGGGAAGGGTTTAAGGTTGGCTTCTCTGGCACTGCACCACCTGGAGATTCCCCTATTAGCAATGGTTCTGAAGCTGGAGTAGGTATACCCAGGGTATACTAGGTGCTTTGGCAAGAGGTATGTGCCTAAATTTCAATAATGGTAGTAGAACTTCTGAGCCCACACTTGGTGATTAACATTGCCATGTACTGATGTCAGCATCAACGCTCTTTCTAAAGAACGAACATTAAAAAACCCATGGGTATAGGAAACATGAACAGCAATATTTTGCAGGTACAGCAGCATGTGGCCAAAGCTTGAAAACCACTGTTCTGTACCAAGGAGATTACAAGGCAACCACTTCTGCCAGCATTCTTGCTGTTAGAGAGGCACAAACAAGACATTGTTCAACTAAACCCTTTATAGGCCTCATTCTAAAAATAAGTTTCTGATGGCTTATGGCATCAAAAATGACATTTAAATATTCATTTGAGATGCATACTGTAATCATGGATTTGAATATCCAAAGTTATACATATAATATCTTGTAAGTATTCTAAGGGTTAATATGAGCTACTTAGAAAAACCTTAGTACACAGAGGGCATGTCTACACATGCTATTTATTCGCATTAAGCTTACTGTGCAGTAAAATACTGTGCAGTAAGCCTTCTCTGGGAGCACATCTACGCATGCTTCTTGTTGGGAGCAGATTTGCTCCCACCCTGCTCTGCCCCCCTGCAGCAGCCAGGCGGAGTTCCAGGCTCCCCCAGGTACTAGCTTGGGGGCTCAGAATGGACACAGGGCTGGTCCCAATGTACACAGGGCCAGAACAGCAGTGCTGGCTGCAGCAGCAACTGTCTCCTGGCCCCATGCACATCAGAAAGGGATGTAATGTGCATGGGGCCAGGCGACAGCTGTCCCTGAAGCAGGCACAGCATTCCATGCTTACCAGGACATACAGCTGCGAGTAAGCCCCCCTGCTGGGCAGGACTTCCTTGCTCAGCAAGGGGTTCACTGGGAGCTGTCCTGGGTGTGGAGCAGCCACTGGCAAGCCTCCTGCTGGGCAGGAGGGGCATGGGGCTCATTGGCAGTTGCCCTGATTGCCGTGGAGCTGGATGCTCCAGGGAGTGAGCAGGGGCTGGGAAGCAGAGCTGCTCCGTGGGGCAGGCAGGAGCTGAGTTCTTAGCCCCTGCCTGCTCCCCAGAGCAGCCAGCTCCACGCTGCACAGAGATGCTCTGGGGGTTGGCTCTAGAGCTGTCAGCTCCACACTGGGCACCTGGAGTTGGGACAGGGGCAGAGAGCTCCCCAGTTCCCAAGCTGATTGACTTCTAGTTCCTGGGGGGAGCCGGGAGCTGAGCAGCACCAGGACTAGGGATAGAGAGCTCCCTGCCCCTGTGGCCCTCTGTTGCCTAGGCTGACTGGGAGCAAATTTGCTCCTGGTCAGCATTTACATGAGTGCTACTGTGCAGTTAATCTAGTACCCCATTTACTAGTTAACTGTGCAGTATGCTAATTGACTGTGCTGTAAATGTTGTACATGTGTAGATGGTGATGCTTTACTGTGCAGTAGATTAGTCATGTTGACACACCCAGAGCATTTTATTTCTTCAGGTTTTATGGATAAAATATTTAATTTCATTTGATTTGAATGTCTTTATTCGGCTTTTCAAGACTCTGGTTCTGCTTCTTGCAGTGGCATTTCCTACAGAGCACTATCAAAGGGGTATAATTTTAAGTGAAATAAATATGCAGCCATTTATCAATTCATAGAAATGTTGTCACCAAGAACTTATCATGCATCACAAGCACCCCGTGCACTTCTCAGCAGGGACTCTGACAAGGTTTCAGGCTTGGTGCTGAAATACAGCTTTTTAATTAAGGGAATGCTCTAGCTCTGCATTTACTAAGCTATCATTTTATATTGCAAATTTAATTATTATAACAGAAGAGGTGATCAAATGGGAATCCTTTAATAGCAGGATCAACTAGAAAATCTTGTCTCAGGAATTTAAAATGCTGGTCATTGTAGGGCTAATGAAAAGTCTACTGATATCTATAGAAACACTCTCATTTGACTTCAATGAGGTTAGACTAGGTCATTTAGGTTTTCAGTCAGTGTTTAATTTTAAGATTTTTTGTGGAGTATGTCATGTAAAATTTTCAAACTTGAGTGTTTAATACAAGGCATTTCACCCCCTACCTCACCTAATAACTTGTACTTCAACAACTCAAATTAACGTTCCTCTGAGATGGCCCAAAAGGCCATTACTACTTCTTCTCCTAAGTACTTATTGAAGTTCTACTTCAAAAGGTGTCCCACCAGATTTAATTTGTATTCAATTAAAAATCTTAAAATCAACAGAAGATATGGGTTGAAGCAGAGAATATAGTGCATGGTTCTGTGGCACCTGTTACATAAATCAGAGCAAATTATTATAATAGTTGATTGGCACCTTAAAAGCCTTTACATTTATATTTTTTAAATATAAATGCTGTCCCAAAGTGGAATGTATGCCTTTGATATAGGTGGATGTATCCAGCACGTGTGCCTCGAGAGTTGTTGCTTTCCTACCTCTTCTGCTGTGTCATAACTGAAACTGGATTGTCAAATATTATTTTATCTTCACTGGAAGGCTCTTAGAAAACTGAACTTATTATGAAATATGCAACAATAAGAAAAAAATTAAGCCACTTATTTCAGTGCCTAGATAAGGATTTGGAGTCAGAGCTCTTGGCAGAGGCGATGCCTTTTATTAAACCAACTAGATAGTTGCATCAAAAATTATATATATATATATATATATATAAATAAAAGGATTTGGGCACTTAAATTCAGGCCACCCAAAATTTAGAATGTTATATACACTTTTTAATCTCATTTAAAAATTGGATAATAGAATTAAATAAACAGTATCTAGTATACAGCATAAGTTTTGACCTATTGTTAGAATGACACAAATGAGGCCACATTATACCTAACCAAAACCAAGGAGGTCAACAGTTAAAAGATGTTGCTTCTACATGGCTTCTGTGAGCAACATGGACTGAATTTAGCTCAGGATGACATAAACCTTGGTAAAAGCCCAGGGCAGTCAGAAGTCTAGAGGCAGAGAATTTTTGACAAGACAAAGAAACCAACGCTTGCCTTCTGTCCAATGCCTAGAGGAAGAAAGTACAGCGTAAAGAATGAATGCTGATAGCTAAGGTGTATGTACAAACATTCTGGGAGGTTAAATCAAGTGAAAAACAGCCAACCGATCTAAGGCAAATTGGGATGAGGGAAGCTAGCAGAAGGGCTTCGGGGGATTGGGGAGCAAGCAGGGTCCACAATGGGGCTTTGGGGGATGGGTGATGGGGTTCTACTGGGGTCTGCAGGGGGGTTGGTGGGGTCCATAGGGGGTTCACCAGGTTGGGGGGGGTGAGGTCTGCAAGGGGTGGTTGGGGAATCAGGGGTCCAAGCAGGATCCATGGGGAGGAGTTGGTGAGGTCTGTGGGAGGTTTGGCAGGATCAGGAGAGTTAGCAGGGTGTGCAGAGAGCTAGCAGGGTCCATGGGAGTTTCATAGATGTTAGAGTCAAAAGGGACCTCAGTAGATCATTGAGTTCAACTCTCTTCCCTGGGCAGGAAAAGCTCTGGGGTCATATGACCCCAGCCAGGTGCTTGTCCAGTCTCCTGTTAAAGACCCCCAAGGTAGGGGAGAGCACCACCTCTCTTAGAAGCCCATTCCAGATTCTGGCAACCCTTACTTTAAAGAAGTTCTTCCTGATGTCCAACCTAAATCTGCTCTCTGTCAGTTTGTGGCCATTATTCCTGGTTATTCCAGGGGTGCCCTGGAAAACAGAGCATCTCCTATCTCTTTCTGCCCCTGCTGCTGATGAACTTGTAAATGGCCACAAGATCCCCTCTCAGCCTTCTCTTGTGGAGGCTGAAGAAACCCAGGTCCCTCAGCCTCTCCTCGTAGGCAAGGAGGGAGGGACCCCAACCCAGACAGCTGTGGGGCAGCCGAGTTGGAGCCAAGGAGGGTCACAGCCCCCCCCCCCCTCCCCAGCTCCTACTTGGCCCAGCCCCCAGGGACCCACGCGACCGGTCCCGCCTGGTGCATGAGACAGGGGAAGGGGGGGGGGCACTCACCTGTCCCCTTCTTCCATGGGGCAGAGACCCCCCAGCCCGTAGAGTGGCGCGGCACCATCAGCGAGCCCTTCTGCACATGTGCGCAGTTTAAAAGTGCCTGCCTGCCATCTAGACATAGAACATCCCTTCTGTCAGATCTCACACAATTCTAAAAAATTCTTAGAAGTTTCCATGCATTTCAGTTGCTATTATTAGAATGCAATTAAGCTGCAGAAATACTCTCATTATCTTAGACTTCACCTACCTCATACCAAAGGACACAGGATTGTATTGTATGCCAAGCCAGGTGAAACCATTAATACATATGCTATCAAAAAGTCAGTGGGTCAGATCACCTCCTATTACAAGCAGTATGTCACCTACTCCTTATAATAAATGTACAAAGGCCTTTCTTCTTAAAATGAGTTAGGTTACATTTCCCCACTACTCCTCTTGAATGGCTGTTGGTGGACTCATTCATTGGAAAAGTGAGATATCACTTTCTAATTTCAAGCTTACATTGATTTATGGGCAATTTACACGTATTTGTTCTTGAGCCAGCACAGTTTTTTGTGTGTTTGTTTTATTTTTTCAACTTCAAAAATTTTTCTTCTGGTGTTTACTACCCTAATGCATTTCTAGAAAGCAACCACATACCCCATGAGCTTTTATTTTGCTAAACTAAAACATGCTAAGCTCTTTGCGTAGGATAGGCTTTTTATACCTTTATCATCATGGTAGTCATTTTCTGCACCTGTTTTAGTTTGGATTAATCTTTCTTGAATGCTGCATTCCAGATACGATCTTCTGGGATAGAAAAGAAGTTTAATATTATGCAATGTTAAACCAGAGTTTAGGATGAGCAAGAGCATTTTAAAGTGTTCAAATTACAGAATGAAATTTAGAAAAAAAAAGTTTATTTGAACTAGAATGCGTCTGTGAGATCAGTTATCCTAGTACACATTTAAAAACAGATATGTGTTAGGACAACTTATTTAGTATTTTTGGGTGCCTGTAGCTGTACAGAGATGCTGCTCTGATGTGCTGTAAGTACAGCACGTCAGCACAGGCTCAATTAGCACACTCTAGCAGCCTCTGCATCTCAAGTATTCAGCATCCCCATGCTTCAAAATAGCAGCTTGTCAAATGAGCTTTAGTTAAAGTGCCTCCGCTGCCATTTTGAAGTGCAGAGATGCTGAATACACAGGACACTGCAGGCACTTTAGAGCTCTAATTAAAGTGCCCCCCCTCCACCCCTAGAGCATGTGTAAAGATACCCTTTAGTTCTACTGCACCATATGGGGGCACAAACTCATTCCTGGAGTAAGTAGTTACAGGTTTTTTTGGATTATCATTCATGACTAGGCAGCAATATGACTTCTCTGAATTCCTCTAAACTAGGAAAACATTTTTTTTCTGTACTACTGAAATTTCACCAGTGCTATTAACTGTGGTATAAATGAGGTGCCAGCATTTTACCATTTTTTTTTTTATCTTCCTGTCCCTTGTCTTCACTACAACTTCCACAGTAGTAACTAATGGAGATTTACCCAAACAGAAAAAATGCTTCCTACCTTAAGTAATTTCATATAAGATTCTGTAATTTAATAAGGATAATCTTAATATTAAATCTGGCTATATAATTGGTATGAGCTGCCCTTACAAGTGAAAAATCTAACATAAAGAATTTTTTTTTCTTTCAGCTCTACTTGGGAAGCATGCATTTTCCTTTTGAAGTTAACTAACTTACTGTCACCTTCTTTCCATTTCCAGTAATAGTTCTGATCTGAATAAGACCAGTGTTCATTAGAAACAACTCTATTAAAATCACTGGGGATACACCAGTGTATATGCAGAGTAACTCATAACCTGGCCCCAGGTGCTGAGTAACTCCCATATTTTCAGTATGAAACAGTTTACAAACCACTGAAACTGCACGCCAAGACTTGCTAGGTTGGCTTGTCATCAGAAGAGCTGTTATGGGAAACTGCTTGGGGAATAGAAAACTGCCAATGTGTCCTTTTACCCGTAGTAAATCACTGCTCTGCCGGTGGCCCTAATATGAAATGTTTCTGCAATAATGCAAATAAAAAGGGGATTGTTGCATAAAAGGATGAAGTAAAATTTTTAAAATCTCCAACTCCACCCAGGCTATATACGGGAAGGGGCACATGTTTCTGTTACAAATCTCAATGCCTTGTAAAAGTCATTCACTCCATGGAGAAATCCTTTCATGACAGGCTAGTAAACAGTGCAGAAATTCCAGAAAGCATATCTTGCATACGTAATTTATTCTAATTGAACCAAGGGCTTTTAAAGGATTCTTCTCCAACATCTTGGCAATGTTCAGACCATGCTTATTATCACTTTAACATTCCAATTTAGAAAAATTCCACTTTTATTTGGTGTACCCTGGAGTCAGCTTGAAATGTAAGAAGCTTTCATCAAAGCTGGTTTCAATGTCTGTTTTAAGTTCTATTTTAAAGAAAATCTTTGCTTCCATGCTTTGTCTGGAATTAATATTCATTATATATATTCTTGTGCCTGAGGGTTTTTTGGAGATACCAATGCTAATGATTAATCTACATAATTACAAAATATGTCTTCATCTTTGGCAATTTTCTCAGCTTCCCACTCCTCTTTCTCTTTTAAAAGATTAACTGTTTTGAAATGGAATAGTATTTACTAGGACAAATACACTGCATATGGTAATCCCAATTAGTGTAATATACAGCCAGAAAAATGCTTTTATTTTCTTATTGGTTGGTTGCCACACCTACATGTCATGACTATAACTGACATACAGTAAAGGCAAAATTCAAAACACAACAATAATCTGTTGAAGCACTGTCTATATACAAAAAACAAACCTTGTGGTTTCATTTATAAGACAAGAGATATTCAGACCATGGTACATTAAACAAATCTCTGTAATTATAGACTATTGCCTTGCAGGTAATCACTATTTAGTGTGTGAGGATGTTTCTCTGCTTACAATTCAACAAATATAAAAGTAATATAGGAGTAGCACATAACATAACATTAATCTGTTTTAAAGGTGGAACGGTCATGCATGCTATGAAAGTCTTTTAAAATGTGAAAACAGTAACATAAAACCAGCTGTTCTGGAATTGTCTGTTCTCACATTCGTGCAAGACCTACAGAGCAGTGATGGAGAAATGTACCATAATTACTCAAATATAAGATAACCTCCCAGTAATTAGATTCTATGTAAGGAAAAATTTTAAATTTGTTATAATACTCCACATATAGAATCTAATTATTGGGGGTTTGCCCTGAATATGCCCCCCCACACACTACTACAGCAGGGAAAATACCATATTTACCTGAATGCAAGACAGGGCCCCTAATCCTATATTTGCATATAAGGAAACCTAACCTAAATAAATACATTGTCTATCATTAAATTGCTGCCAAAAGTAGCATGTGCTCAGTAATGGAAACCAACTATAAAACTGATTAAATGCAGCCAACACTGAGTATGACTATAGAATACATGGCCCGTGTTGGCCTACAGGGCTCTGGATGCAAGGGCAAAAAAAGACAGGGGCTCAGGTGTTGTTCTCCTCGACCCTTCTGGTCAAGAGGAAGGGCCCAGACAGGACTGGACACATCTCGCAGATCAATGCATGGCTGTGCAGATGGTGTCATCAGCAGGGCTTTGGATTCTTCAACTATGGGATGTTGTTCCAAGAAAATGGATTGCTAGAAAGAGACAGGATCCACCTGACAAAGAAAGGGAAAAGCATCTTCACAGACAGGCTCATTAACCTAATGAGGAGGGTTTTAATTGGTTTACTGGGGAATGGAGACCAAAGCCCTAAGGAAAGATGCCCTAGAGGAAGCGCAAGCAGGAAGGAGCAACAAGGGAGGCCTTCTCATTCTTCCTGAGAAAGGGCAATTGGCTAGTTACCTCAGGTGTCTGTAAATGAATGCACAGGACCTGGGAAACAAACAGGAAGTCTCCTGCATGCCTAGAGCTAAGATCAGGGACATCACTGAGGTGATTCCTGCTCTCATTAAGCCCTCTGACTACTACCCCATAGTCCTCATCCATGTGGGAACCAACGATGCGGCTAGGACCAGCCCTGACCACATCATGAAGGACTTCCATGAACTGGGAGACAGCCTCAAGAAGACTGGAGCACAGGTTGTATTTTCTTCTATCTTCTGGTTGGCAGCAGCCGGAGATGCCAGGGTGCCTGCATCAAGGAAGTCAACCGGTGGCTCCAGAGCTGGTGTCTTCAGGAGAGCTTCGGATTCTACAGCCACGACCAGTACTTCCAGGGAGGAGGCTTCCTGGGAGATGATGATCTTCATCTCTCTCCCAGAGGTAAGCATCTGTTCGCCCACAGGTTGGTTGATCTCCTCCTCCGAAGAGCTTTAAACTCAACGGGGGTCGGGGAACCGGTGGTCAAAGAGATCCCAGGGTTGGTAAACCACAAACAAGATACCAGATTGCACCAGGTAAGTATTAAGGAGTTGGTAAGCCATAAACAAGGCACCAGACTACACCAGGTAAGTAATAAAGGGAACACACACCATCAAGGCACAGGGGCACCAAGAGCCCCCTTTGGGGGACTAAAATGTCTTTATACAAATGCCAGAAGTATGGGGAACAAGCAAAAGGAGCTCACACTCTTACTTGCTAGCACCCAGTATGACCTAGTCAGATGAAATGAAACATGGTGGGATTTTACACATGACTGGGCAGTAGGCATTGAGGGGTATAGGTTGTATAGGCATGACAGAGTGGGGA